CTTTTAAGTTTACGTAAACGACCAACAACATGGAAAACTCTAGTTATTATAGAAATGGGGACCAACTCAGGCTATTTGTTGGTGTGTAATGAGCTGATTTGCATATCATCGCTGCTGTTGGAACAAAATCTCATATCTCCATTTTTGACGTTTTTCAGTTTTTTGACATAATGTGAAAATCCCTGTGGACGAATGGACCAAAGGAAACGGCCCAAAATGACTGAAAAATGTCTGGTTCCATTGACTTACATTAAAAGTAAAGTAGGGTTTTTCCTTCTCCTGCAAAGTTACCATTTTGGAGGTACGAGGTTTTGTTCCAACAACAGCGATATGCACCTTACGTCAGTGATATTTCCAAGTGAAAATGCATGCGGTTAAAATCTATTCGCATTAAACGAGCAGAGACACCATAGCAACAGAGACAATAGATCTCTAATACTGTAGTTTTACCAGGGGAGCTTCTGATTGGCTGATAGGGACAAGCCCAAGTATCTCTGTAATTTCCACAGATTCCCACAGATAGCCTGGATTGAAAGGCTACAGCTGGGAAGTTCGGGTCAGCATCAAGCCACAGGACTCAATAACAATAACAACACGGAGCACGGCTGTGCCTCTTAACAGGTTTTGTTCTTCCATTAGTGTAAGGTGGACTGGAACAGGACTAAATCATTATTATAATAGAATATCACCTCTTCTGTTCACAAGTACAGATGTGGTTTGGATCTGAAGTTTAGAATCTGCACTTTCCACAGAATCTCTGCGCCTGGTTCAGTGAGCTACATGAGAATAATTCAACAAAACGTTAGGGGTGTGTATGCTTACGAACACAAAGCGCAATAATGCTCACTCAGTAGTGTGTGTTTGTGTGTGTTTGTGTTACAGCTGTGCATGGAGCGCGTCAGGAGGAGGTGATCGATCACCGGCTCACTGACCGCGAGTGGGCCGAGGAGTGGAAGCACCTGGATAACGTACGTCCATCTATCAGTTCACCTTTATCCATCTGAGTAACTTTCCAAAGTGTGAAGTCAATATTTTCAATAAAGTAAAACCAATTTGAGTTCAGATAAATGCATAAATGAGCAGATGTCTTGTATCTGAAATATGGTGATTAACGGAAAATTTCTGTAGCTCGTATTTTGGCAAGAAAGTCATCTTAAATCTAGTCTTCCATTTCTGATTACGAGATTGTTGTAAAAGTATTATAAATTCTAAACAGCTTACTTCTAGACATTTTTCATCTCATTCTATCAGCAGATAATTTTACTTCAAGCATTATTTCCTGAAAAAATATTTCTAGAAAAATGATCTGCCAAAGAAATACGACAGTTTTACTAGATAAAATGACTTAAACCAAATAAAAATGTCCAGAAATAGGTTGAATATTATTATAACATTCTTAAAACAATTTCATAATGAAAAATATTCAATGTATAAACTGCATTTAAGATGTTTTCACTTAATAAATCATTTAAATTTAGTATTTAACAGTATTCTGTGTTATTACTGAATAAAAAAACAATCATTAACATGACAAGTGATTCCAAACTTCTGAACTGGTTCAGTCTGGAGGCCCTGCAGCAGCACTTTCAGCTCAGCTCACCTCCACGTCCTCCACACACACACACACACACACAGTGTGAGTTAAAAAAGGGGCACAGATGGAGTGAAGGACCCAGTAGAGAGATCCAGCTGGGTTCTGCAGCTGAGAGAGAGACCGGCCTGAGCTGGACCGCAGCCAAATTACACTCACTCCACTGATATAAATACAGCTAACGCTGAGAGAGAGGGAGGGTGAGAGAAAGAGAGAGAGAGAGAGAGAGAGAGAGAGAGAGAGAGAGAAAAGAAGAGAGTGGTGAAAAAGAAGAAGAAGAAGAAGAAGAGAGTGAGACAGAGAGTGAGGGAGGTGCAGGATGAATGGGTTTGGTCTTTGCCGTTGGCAGCACAGCTGTTTCAGTGCTATTGTTGCTGCTTTGTGGTGCTGCTGCTTATCCACTCACACACACACACACACACACTCACACACACACACACACACACTCACACACACACACACACACACACACTCACACACACACACACACATCCTACACAGCACTTAGGGTCGCACCTGGACAGCTCTAATGGGTTTAGCAAACACTGCAGCGCTCCCAGCTAAAAGCTTCATACCTCTGCAGCTAAAATGCTCCCACTGTAAATACAGCCGCTAGACTTACTCAGCTCACACACAGGTGCCCTCCTCACACAGAGTCAACCTCTCTCGCTCTCTCTCTCTCCTCCTTTTACACTCTGTCTCCTTTTCTCTCGCTTTTGCTCTCTTCTTGCTCTCTCACTCTACCTTTCTTCTCTCTCTCGCTTCCTTTGTCACTCTCTGTCTCCTTTCGTCTTTTCTCTCACATTAACTTCTCTCACTCTCTCTCTCTCTCATTCACACGATCTTCTTTTCTCTTGCTTTTGCTCTTCTTCTCTTCCTTTCTTCTTCTTGCTCTATCTCTCTCTTCTTACTTTCTTTCTTCATGTCTTTCTCCTTTCTTCTCCCTCTCTTTTTCTCCTATCTTTTCTCTCTCTCTCTCTATCTCTCTCTCTCTCTCTCTCCCTTCCTTTCACACTCTCTATCTTATTTTCTCTTCTCTTGCTTTTGCTCTTCTCACTTTCTTCCACTCTTCTTCTCGTTCTCTCTCTTTATCTTTCTCTCTTCCTTTCGCACTCTCTCTCTCTCTGGATCTCTCTCTTTCTTCCTTTCACACATTCTGTCTCCTTTTCTCTTCTCTTGCTTTTGCTCTTCTCTCACTCTCTCTTCCCCCCCTCTCTCTCTCTCTCTCTCTTTCTTTCACACTCTCTATCTCCTTTTCTGTTTTCTTGCATTTGCTCTTCTCTCTCTCTCTTTCTCCTTCTTGCTCTCTCTCTCCTCACTTTCTTTTTTCCTGTCATTCTCCTTTCTTCTCTCTCTCTCTTCCTTTCTCTCTCTCTCTCTCTCTCAGTTCAGGGCTTTATTGCTCTGAATGTTACAAGTTCACAAATTTGCACCAATAATAATAACATAAATAAATATATGTGAAAAAAGAAAAATGGAAACAGAAGAACAGAAACTAAGAGAGAGTGAGTTTAGTCTCTTAGGTTGTGATGAGATGATAGAAATCCCTCGGCCTGTATAATCAGTCCTCTCTCTCTCTCTCTCTCTCTCTCTCTCTCTCTCTCTCACTCTATCTCAGTTGTTGAACTGCATTATGGACATGGTGGAGAAGACGCGGCGCTCGCTGACCGTCCTGCGCCGCTGTCAGGAGGCCGACCGCGAGGAGATGAACCACTGGATTCGTCGCTATAGCGATGTGGAGGATATGAAAAAAGGTGGGGGCTCCGCCCAGCGGCCGGTTCATCATCAACACAAGCCTTCATCCCCCTCCAACAGCACTAACGGCAGCGAGCCGCAGCACATAGGTACACGCCGTGCTGCAGAACGCTCGGACGGCCGGCTCTCAGCATGCCTCACACCTTCACACATACACATACATCACTGTCTGTGTGGCTCCTCAACCTCCTCAAGCACAATTCTATACGTCATATTCTAGTTTTTATGCCTCTAAAATTACGTTAACAGCAAATAACAATGAAAACTGGGCTGCAATAGTAAATACAGAGATTAATGCAGCACTGATGATTCTGTTGTGTGTAACTGTAGGTATAACTGTATCTGAAGGTTTCAGTCACGTGATGTTTCTGTTGTGGCCGCCATATTTGGGACCGAATTTCTGGCTTTGCTGGTCCGCACGAACGTAACTAGAAGTGGACGATGGCTAAAATTATTCTCTTTACTTTGGCTGTGATCCTTATACAGTTTCCCCTGAACTCCTGGTCCCACTTAAACTGGCAGAAAAGCTACCAAAATTGTTTTTCTTACATATTTATCTCATACTCAGCCTCTCTCCCTGTTCTGGAGAGTGTCTCAAAGCATTTAAAAGCACAGAAGCCCGCCAGCTCTTCACGTCAGGGTGGGTAAAGGATCCCATGGTGCTGCATAAAGAGGAGAAAAACTCTTTGTCGTCATTGGAGGGTAACGACATCAGCTAATTAACACAGATGAGATCAATGCTGGCCTTTAGATAACTTTAGCTGATGTTAACAGCCGAGAGATGAACAGTCGTCCCCCTAACGGAGCTGCAGACAGCCGGTATAACTTTACTCTCTGTTTCTGAGATATAAATGACGTTTGAATGGAGAAACATAAGCATTAAATATCAGACTGAATGTCGTGGGTCTGAAAACGACGTCGTGTTTCGACAGACGTGATTCTGTAAGTTTGCTAGTGCAGTTAGTTCAGAGTTCAGCTCCAGTCCTGAAACCCCTGCACTGCATAACTGTGGTTTCCTGGTTAAAATACCTGATATTATTAGCTAATTAATCCCTTCTTGAGCTGAACGAGGTGAACAGCAGAGAGAAACACTAAACTGTACAGTGCGGGGGCTCCAAGCCTGGAGTGAAAACTGAATTAAAGGTCTGTGTGTCTCTCGTCTCTCGGCTTCTGTCGCGTCTTACAGGTAAATCATTCACAAAGCACAGCAAACTGAAGGCACCGCGCAGTGCAGTCACCCCCCTGATTTGGTCCTCAAAATGGCGGCGACTATACAGTGTGACGTCATGCAAAACGCGAGAATAGGATGCATCCCCCCCGTCTTTCTCTCTGTCTTTGTCTAACACACACACACACACACACATATACACACACACACACACACTCTCAGCGCACACACTCAGCTGAACTGACTCTCTCACACTCTTCATGACAGATATCCACCGAGACTTCCTCCACCGGCCGCCGTCCGGTTACTTGCCTGAGGAGATCTGGAGAAAAGCAGGTAAGAACAGCATTCACACACACACACACACACACACACACACACAGACTCTGGTCAGGGTTAAAGTGCTCCGTCTGTCCTGCTATGAAAGACGACTGCAGTTAAAAGTGCAGTGGAAATGCAGCACCTGCAGAACAGAGAACAGATAAAGCACAGCAGCAGCCTACAGGCCACCAATATTATTATTATTATTATTATTATTATTATTATCCTATAGCTCCTACATACAGGCTACAGAGAGGGTAAGAAAAAGGAAGGAGAGAAAGGAGGAGAATTAAAAAGAGTGTGGGATGGCTAGAAGGATGGGGAAGGAAGAGGAAAGGAGGTAAAGAAACAAAAAGTAGAGACATAAAGAAAAGAGTGATGGGTAGAATAGTGGAGCAGGAAGAAGAAAAGAGGAAAAGAAGGAAAGGAGGAGTATTATAGAAGATAAGAAAGACAAAAAGAGGAAAAGAAGGAAAGAGGGAGCATTATAGATGATAAGGAAGAAAAAATAAGGAAATGGGAAAGGTTGAATGTTAAAGAGAGAGGGCGAAAGAAAAGTGGAGAAGGAAGAGGAAAGGGGACAAAAAAGAGAAAGGTGGAGACTAAAATGGAGAGAGAGAGTGATGGGTGGAATGGTGGAGAAGGAAGAGGAAAGAAGGAAAAGAAGGAAAGGGGGAGTGAAAGAAAAAGGATTGTACAGAATAAAAGTTAAGAGAGGACAGAAAAGGGTGAGATGAATAAATGTGGATAGTAGGAAGGAGAAGAAAAAGGGCAGGAGGAAGAGAGGGATGGGATTGGGAGATGGGAGGAAGGACAGGAGAGAAAGAAGAGGATGAGTAATAGGACAGAGAACGAAGAGAGCATGAGGGAACGAGGGGAAAGGGGGACTGATAAAGAGGAGAGAAGGAAGAGGGAGATGGGAGAGGGATGATGAGGCAACATAGGAGGGAGAGTGGAGAGAGATGGAGAAGAAAGAGGGCAGGAAAGAGCGAGGGATGAAGAGGGAGATGGAGGAGAGGGATGGATAAGAAAGAGGACAGGAGGAAGAGAGGGAAACGTGGAGTAAGGACAGAGAGAGGGGATGAAAAGGGAGGGCGGCAGGGAGGATGGAAGGAGGGATGAGAGAAGGATGGAGGGATGAAGAAAGAAGGGAAGGTTGCTGCTCTAATCCTCCTTTTCACTGTGACTCTGCTGATTATTAGCGATTGTAGGATTGTGTCTCCTGACGATGCTAATGCGGCTAACAGTGAATGGAAGTGAATGGGTGATCAGTTAGCATGAGCTCACCATTCACTTTCATTCATCTCTGGCCACGTCAGCAGTTTGGGGGGCTGTATTGCTACACAGAAGCCCACACGACCTCCACCATGTTCAGGGTCACGCTCACCATCGATAGGTCAGTCAGTGCACCAGTGGTGATCAAACGTCAAAGGTCAAAAGCCAGCACTACCAGCTGCTGTAGAAATGTGTGCTGCATTTGCACTGTGGCCCTTTTAACTGCAGTTGTTTTCCATGCAGGTGCCCCCAGCATCCCGCTCTCCCCAGCACTAAAGCAGCTCCACAGCAAGCAGGGTGAGTAACGACACACACACAGACATCATCTCCACACGAAGAGAACACACACACACACCACACAGCCATAGCATTAAAACCACATCCTTGTTTCTACGCTCATTGTCCATCTTATCAGCTCCACTGACCAGATAGGAGCACTTTGTAGTTCTACAGTTACAGACTGTAGTCCATCTGTTTCTCTGCATACTTTGTCACCCTGTTCATTAACAGTCAGGACCCCCACAGGACCACCACAGAGCAAGTATTATTTGGGTGGTAGGTCATTCTCAGCACTGCAGTGACACTGACGTGGTGGTGTGTTAGTGTGTGTTGCGCTGGTACGAGTGGATCAGAAACAGCAGTGCTGCTGGAGGTTTTAAAGCGAGGGAAATCCTGGACCGGTGGCAACCCTAAGTCAACTGAGATCTAACTGGCTAGCTCTCATGCTAGTCCAGAGGTCAGCAACCCAAATGTCTTGGGAGCCACAACATTTTATATCCATTTTACCATCTTGGCTGTAAATATGTCTCAGTATGTGCTGATGTTCTAGTATAGACTAAAAAATATAATCTAAACGAAAACGCAGACTTAGTTTGATCTGCTTTAAGCTTCAGCTCAGCTGTAGCCGCTTTTCTCGCATCTCCAGCAGGAAACTTTTCTTCAAAAGTGGAACAGTTTCTTGTTAAATTCTCTGAAGGTTTGACTTTTTATGAGGCTGAAGTCGCTTCTCATTCGCCAGCTTCTTGTTCGATTTTTCCTGTTCCACCTTAAATGGTGCAGCAGTTACATTCTGGCGTGTCAGGCACCATTTAAGGTGGAACGGGAAAAATTGAACAAGAAGCTGGCGAATGAGAAGCGACTTCAGCTTCGTGACTTTTTAGTGTTTGTCAGTTTCTCGTTGCAGATTAAACGTATCAGGAAACCAGCTGGAGTGATTATAAATGCAAATAAGTCCTTTCATCTCTAAATTATCGATGTCCGTCTTAAATCTTTCTCTTTGCCGTTTCGTTGGCTACTGGCTAGGCGAGATTGTTGTCAGCGTTGCTATGGTGACCAGCAGTCTGTGCACCAACATTCAGGGTTAAAGGTTGGTGAATTAGCGGTTGTAGTC